CTGCATGTCCAGTCCTTGCCATGGGCCCAGCTCTTTCGAGGAAGGGGGGAAGAGAGAGCCTCAATTTTCTCATCTGTAAAAGGAAGCTAATAGCACCAGTCATGTAGGATTGCTATAAGATTCAAAGACTGTACAATGTAGGCCAAAGGGATAGTTATGACTCTCTTACAGGAGAGGAGACAGAAGCCCAGAGAGGTTAATTAATGTGCCGTATGTCACACAGCTCAGCGTTCAATCCTCGGATCCTTTGCCTTCAGCCTCTGTACTTCTTACTCTCTGCCCTGCAGCTGGGGCTCATTTTACCTGAAATCCAAATGGTTTACCTACCAAGCGGTAGTTCCGTGGTGAAGGTATAATTATCCCATTTTACAGATGAGGTACTGAGGCCCAGAGTGGCCTGCCCCGGGGAACCCCGGTGAGGTGGAGGCAGCGACAAGATTCCGGGACCCCTGGCTTGGTGCTGTCTTTCAGCAGACAGAGGTGAGGTGGTGCCTGCCCCATGAGTTCTGGCTGGGTCCCAGGAGTCCTCAGTCCTCCTAATCCTGGATAATGGCACTGACCCAGACAGTGACAATGGCACCTCAGGGGACCTTGGCCAACCTGGCCCAGGGAAGAGCCCAGGCCAAGGCTTATCAGCTGCTGCAAATGAGATTTCCCCAGTCAACCCTCACATCCCTACTCCTGGGAAGCGGGAACATGGACCGCACCCTTCCCCCACCTGTTCCCCAGCTCCCACCAACGTGCCCTCCACCAGTGTCCCCACGGGAGCCTCTTGCCCTGTACGGTATATTTGTCTCCACTATGGCCTGGGGTGTCAGGGGAGCCCCGGGAGATAGCTAGGTGGCACTCACCATGCCCTGCAGGTGGAGAAACAGGTTCAGAGCTGGCCAGCCCTGTGTCTCGCCTTCCCTGCTGACCATGGCTCCCCCATCTCCTCCCCAGCCGCCTCAGCCGCAGACCTCACCCTGTGCCGGACAATATGCTATGCATCTGAGCAGTGTCCCGGGTTAGCTGAGGGGGGGCAGTGAGCTCCCAGAAGGCATGCGAGGTTGGCAGATTGAGATCCGCCATTGCCACCCTGGGCCTGAGCCTGACCTGCCACCGGCGGCATGTGACCCTCCCCGGGTCCTGGCATCCGCTTCCCCTCCAGGAAAGGCTAGGACTGGGTTGAGCAACGGCCCCTCGTCCTTCCAGCTCTGAAGCTCTCGGATTCGGATTCCATGGAGGCATCCTGAGCCTCGTGGCACCTGGAGGAGAAGGGCGTAGAAACCAGCTGGATCAACCAGTGGCTTCCTGGGGGGGAGGGGGGGGGTTGCTGAAGCCCAGAGAAGGGGGCGGAATTTGTTGAGAGTGACTCACATTCTGTGGCTCCAGACTGAGACCCCACCTGAGCTGTGCCTCTCAGACCTGGCAGGGCTTGCTGACCCTCCTTCCTCCTCACCATCCGAGGGTGTCCCCATGACAGGAGACATCGGTAGCCAGCTAGACTGGGGGCCCACCCCAAGATCCCTCTGCGGTATGCTGCACCCCCCAACTTTGCCACGTTCCTTTTCTGTGCTGGCAGGAGAGAGGGGGGCCTGCCCTTGCTCGGGCCAGAGGTCATTTGTTCTTGCCACACCTGTGTGCCCCCGGGTGGGGGGGGGTGCAGGCACAGTGCGTGGGTGGGGGAGGGGAGGCTGGGCCAGGCTCCCCCAGGTTTAACACCCCTGGCACAGGACGGCAAAGGCCTCTGCTTCTGGCTGCTTGCCCCTCCCTCCGAGCTGGTCGCCCGCTGCATTTCGGCCCCGGCTGGGTGGGCAGCAGGCTCCGTGCCCTCCATCGTCTCCCTGAGCTTCTCTGCGGATCGGTTCCTGTCTCAGATGCTCGCTCTCCATTCATCTCCATCCTCTGTCTCTCCCCGCTTGGCTGTCTCCATATTTTGCTTTCCCGTCCTGCTCAGTCCTGGCCTCCTGTTTGCAGCTCCCTCACTCCTTCCTTTCCCTCTGCCATCTCTCCCCCCACCCCCGCCCCAGGAGTGGGGGGTAGGGCCCTGCTCCTCCTGCTAGCATGGGTGCTGGGGGATCACCATGACCATGTGGACCCCCAGCTCCAGATGTGAGCCAGCAGCCCTCGCCCACACCTTGAGTGGGTGTGCAGCCGGGCGGGGGGCCAAGCGCTGCTCTCAGCACCTTCTTCCCCTTGCTGTCCCCCTTCCCTGGCTGCGTCAGGCCTCGAGGGGTGGTGGGCAGGCGGCCCAGAGACCGGGACCAAGTGGCTGACGCACACACGGGAAGGGGTGATGGGGAGCCTCCTCTCCTTTGGTCTGAGTCATGGGAGGGGTGGGAGGGTGAGGGGGGCTGGGCCCTGGCCCAGGCCATCCTGGAGACCAAGAGGAGCAGGAGAGGGGGCAACGGGCAGGGTCACCTTGAGGGCTCAGCTGCACAGAGCTCAGAGTAGCTGGGGTGGGGGCTTCTGTCTCCCCTGGACTGTTTGGGGAGGAAAGAGGTGGGATAGGACTAGCCCCGGTCCCTAAGCCTGGAACCCTTCTCCTAGTCCCCTCCCCCACCGCCCCCCTCGCGCCCACCCCCCACCGCCCGGCCTCTTTACATCCCCTCAGCATGGCCTTGGATTTCCAGAGGCTCCAGCCAGGTCAGCTTTGCCCTGCACCCCCTGAGCCTGGCTGGGGGTGCTGGCTTGAACAACTCAGATCTGAAGACAGGGGGTGGGGAACGGCGGTGGGGGGGCACTCTGTATGGCTAAAGTTGCGCATGTGCACACATACATGTACGTGGGGAACACACATGTGCTGAAACATGTGGACGCATAAGCAGGTATTTGCCCATGTCCCCAAGATGCCCCTACCCGCCCCGCTTCCCACTCGCCACACACAAGTGAGTTCACCTTCACCCAAGAGCGCTCCCGTTGGGGGCTCCCTGTGCACGCGTCCTGGGTGCTTGCTTGGGGGCGTGTGTGCACACAGGGCCGCCTGCACGTCCGTCTACTTGTGTGCGTCTGCTTGCACGCCCCTATGCTGGCGTTCCGAGCCAGCACGCACCTGCACGTGCACCTGCATACAAATGCCGTCCCCAGACGTTCCCAGCCGGAGGGGTGGGGTGCAGACAGAGGGCTCTCTGACGGGGCGAGCTTGGCCACTCAGCCTCCTCCAGTACAACCTTGTGGCCTGTGGCAGGGGAGGAAACTGAGGCCCTAAGGAGCCAGCAGCCATGCCAGATGGGAGCGTCCCTGCCCGACTGCTTTGTGCCCCCCTCATCGCTCCCCCCACCCCCTCAATCCCTGTCCCGCCCCTCAGCCCAGACCAGCCCTGCAGGGGACTGGGAGGTGTGAGTCTGCCTCTCCTGGAGGTCGTGATCATCACAGCTTCTGTCACTGTGTCCGCCTTTACTCCGAGAGGTCATCGAATGCCCTGTTCACCTGCCACCTCCTCAACAGGAACTGCTGCCTGGACTTCTTTGGGGCTGTTTCCCTCCCTGCTTCCCTCTCCTCTGTTCAGCCCTCTGGGGCTCAGGGCTGTAAATTGCTTTTGCTTTAACAGCAAAGGTTTAATACTTTTTTTTTTTCTTCTCAACGCACTCTCCTGGAGTTTCCCAGGAGGAGGAGCCTGAGGTAGAGGTGGCTCTTGTGAACAGTCTCTGGCTTTCTTTGTCCAAGGGTGGATTTCTCTGACCCAGTCTTCGTACCCCTGGCCACTGCCCGGGGCGAAGGGAGGGCGCACTGGGCTCTTCCCGCAAATTAAGAGAGCCTTGCGTGGGCGCTGGAGCTTGCTGCCTGGCTTGCTGGGTGATTGGGGCAGGTCTCCCCTGGTCCGGGGCTCAGTCCCCACCTGGAAGGTGAGGGTCTGCTGGCTGTGAGCCCTGTGCCACCAACACTGCTCTTCTGCATCTCGGGCGTGGGCAGCGTGGCTCACCGTACTTCTTCCCCATCAGACGGCTGGGCAGGGACCTGGTCCCCACTTACCATATGGCAGCACACGCAGAGATGGTTCACTCCCTCTGGCTAATTGGGCTGCATGGAAGGGGCTCCAGGCCTCCTGACTCCTGGTGCCTGGGAGCCTTGATCCTGGCCCAGGCTGTGCTGTGTGACTAGGGGCAAGTCCCTGCCCCCCTCTGGACCTCTGACTCTCCAGCCACAGAGGGGATGGGGGGCTTCGGCCACACTCTTTGGGATGCCACCGGCTTTTCCGCCTGCCTGAGGCCTAGACTACAGGATCGAGGCCCTCTAATGGAAAGCACTTTGGGGAAGTGATATTGGGGGTGTGTGTCTGGCTTCCCAGACTCGCCCTCTCTCCCGTGGCTCTGCTCCCGCTTGTAGAAGGAGTTCTCCCCATGTCCTCTCCCTGTGGGAGACCCCCGGCTTGGGGGGCTCACAGCCTTGCTGCTCTGCTCCCCCTCCCCCATGGAAGCTGAGACAAGGGAATTATTTTTGGAACAAGAGCGGTTACACAACAAATGAATTATTTATCTTTGGGCATGGAGGGGAGGAGGCATTTTGCTGGGCTTCTTAATTCTTTTCCTGGATTGGAAGGTGCCTGCCTCACTACACGGTCATGTGTATAGGGGCCCGTTTGTCCAACGTAAGACTGTCCGTGGGCACGCTGCGGTGTTCCGGCTCATGGGAGGGCATGTGGGTCTTTGTGCCGGCAGGTGGACGAGTGTGGACAGGAGTGCTGGGGAGTGTGTGTGTGTGTTGTGTGCGTGCATGCACGCGCACCCGACCTGTCACTGTCCAGTCTCCCTTCTCTGCCCACCGTCCTCAGATTCTGTCCCCCTGTCCCTACTCCTTGTTTCTTCTGTCTCCTTCCTTCCAGACCTCTTGGCCCCCTCCTCCCTCTCGCCACCCACCACCCTCCCTTCTTTTACGTAACAGGGACCCCAGCTTGCTGCGGGCACCAAGGACCCCCAGTGGGAGGGGGTAGAGAGGGGACAGGGGCCCATGCTGGAGCTTTAGTGGGGCTGCTCTGAGCTTTCACTGATCTGTCGCCCCCTCTCGGTGCTGCCTTTCAGGAGCCAGGTGACAGATGGGTCTCTTCCTTCCTGCCCCATCTCTCGCGCTCCCTCCTCAGAGCTTCACTCTCCAGCCTCCCGTGGGAATCGTGGGAATCGTCTGAAGTTCTGAGCCCAGAACCGGAGGAGGAGGAAGAGGAGGAGGAGGAGGAGGAGGGAGAGGAAGTCGAGTCTCGAGAGCCTGTGCACCTTCCCAGAAACAGGCGGTGGGGGTGTGTCCCCGTGTGTGTCCCGGTCCCGGTGGCCCACGCCTGCTGCTAGCGCCCCGGAGGACCCCCCACCCCACCCCGCAGTTGGCACCGGCCGTGTCTGCTTCTCCCGGGGCCCCTGTGCCGGGGGTCGCCCCCAAGATGGTGGCGGCCCCAGGGAGGACTGTGCCGCCGGCCCCAGCCTCCCGCTGCTAGGTGCCCCCCACGCCCCGGCCCCCCTGCCCCCCAAGCCCCGCCTTCCCCGGCGGGGGGGGGGCCGCGGCCGGCGCCATGCTGCGCCTGGGCCTGTGTGCTGCCACCCTGCTGTGCGTGTGCCGGCCGGGCGCCGTGCGCGCCGACTGCTGGCTCATCGAGGGCGACAAGGGCTACGTGTGGCTGGCCATCTGCAGCCAGAACCAGCCCCCCTACGAGACCATCCCGCAGCACATCAACAGCACCGTGCACGACCTGCGGCTCAACGAGAACAAGCTCAAGGCCGTGCTCTACTCCTCGCTCAACCGCTTCGGGAACCTCACCGACCTCAACCTCACCAAGAACGAGATCTCGTACATCGAGGACGGCGCCTTCCTGGGCCAGTCGAGCCTGCAGGTCCTGCAGCTGGGCTACAACAAGCTCAGCAACCTGACCGAGGGCATGCTGCGCGGCATGGGCCGCCTGCAGTTCCTCTTCGTGCAGCACAACCTCATCGAGGTGGTGACGCCCGCCGCCTTCTCCGAGTGCCCGAGCCTCATCAGCATCGACCTGTCCTCCAACCGCCTCAGCCGCCTGGATGGCGCCACCTTCGCCAGCCTGGCCAGCCTCATGGTGTGCGAGCTGGCCGGCAACCCCTTCAACTGTGAGTGCGACCTCTTCGGCTTCCTGGCCTGGCTGGTGGTCTTCAACAACGTCACCAAGAACTACGACCGCCTGCAGTGCGAGTCCCCGCGCGAGTTCGCCGGCTACCCGCTGCTGGTGCCCCGGCCCTTCCACAGCCTCAATGCCATCACCGTGCTCCAGGCCAAGTGCCGCAACGGCTCGCTGCCCGCCCGGCCCGCCAGCCACCCCACGCCCTACTCCACCGACGCCCAGCGGGAGCCCGACGAGAACTCGGGCTTCAACCCCGACGAGATCCTCTCGGTGGAGCCGCCGGCCTCGTCCACCACGGATGCGTCGGCGGGGCCCGCCATCAAGCTGCACCACGTCACCTTCACCTCGGCCACCCTGGTGGTCATCATCCCGCACCCCTACAGCAAGATGTACGTCCTGGTCCAGTACAACAACAGCTACTTCTCCGACGTCATGACGCTCAAGAACAAGAAGGAGATCGTCACGCTGGACAAGCTGCGGGCGCACACCGAGTACACCTTCTGTGTGACCTCGCTGCGCAACAGCCGCCGCTTCAACCACACCTGCCTGACCTTCACCACGCGGGACCCCGTCCCCGGCGACCTGGCGCCCAGCACCTCCACCACCACCCACTACATCATGACCATCCTGGGCTGCCTCTTCGGCATGGTCGTCGTGCTGGGCGCCGTCTACTACTGCCTGCGTAAGCGGCGTGTGCAGGAGGAGAAGCAGAAGTCGGTCAAGGTCAAGAAAACCATTCTGGAGATGCGCTATGGGGCAGACGTAGATGCCGGCTCTGTGGTCCACGCCGCCCAGAAGCTGGGCGAACCCCCCGTGCTGCCCGTGTCCTGCATGTCCTCCATCCCCTCCATGATCGGGGAGAAGCTGCCCACCTCCAAGGGGCTGGAGGCCGGGCTGGACACACCCAAGGTGGCCACCAAGGGCAACTATATCGAGGTGCGCACGGGCACGGGCGGGGACGGCCTGGCCCGGCCCGAGGATGACCTCCCGGACCTGGAGAATGGCCAGGGCTCGGCCGCTGAGATCTCCACCATCGCCAAGGAGGTGGACAAGGTCAACCAGATCATTAACAATTGCATCGATGCCCTCAAGCTGGACTCGGCCTCATTCCTGGGGGGGGGTGGCGGCGGCGGGGACCCCGAGCTGGCCTTCGAGTGCCAGTCCCTCCCCGCGGCCGCCGCCGCCTCCTCGGCCGCCGCCCCCGGGGCGCTGGAGCGCCCCAGCTTCCTCTCACCCCCCTACAAGGAGAGCTCCCACCACCCCCTCCAGCGCCAGCTGAGCGCCGACGCCGCCGTGGCCCGCAAGACCTGCAGCGTGTCCTCCAGCGGCTCCATCAAGAGCGCCAAGGTCTTCAGCCTGGACGTGCCCGACCACCCGGCCGCCGCGGGGCTGGCCAAGGGCGACTCCAAGTACATCGAGAAGGGCAGCCCCCTCAACAGCCCGCTGGACCGGCTGCCGCTGGTGCCGGCGGGCGGCGGCGGGGGCGGCGGCGGGGGCGGCGGCGTGCACCACCTGGAGGTGAAGCCCGCCTACCCCTGCAGCGAGCACCGACACAGCTTCCCAGCCCTGTACTACGAGGAGGGCGCCGACAGCCTGAGCCAGCGCGTGTCCTTCCTCAAGCCGCTGACCCGCTCCAAGCGGGACTCCACCTACTCGCAGCTCTCGCCCAGACACTACTACTCAGGTTACTCCTCCAGCCCTGAGTACTCATCCGAGAGCACGCACAAGATCTGGGAGCGCTTCCGGCCCTACAAGAAGCACCACCGGGAGGAGGTGTACATGGCTGCCGGCCACGCCCTGCGCAAGAAGGTCCAGTTCGCCAAGGACGAGGACCTGCACGACATCCTCGATTACTGGAAGGGGGTCTCGGCCCAGCAGAAGCTGTGACCCTCTCCTTGCCGGTGAGGCCGGAGGGGGAGGGCTGGGGGCACCCCCGGGGAAGGGCCCGGCGGCCGGGCAGGGGGAGGGGGCGGCGCTGGGGGGCCGCGGCCGGGGAGTGGACGCACACGCACACCCGCACGCACGCACCCATGCACACACCTGACCACCACCTGACTGTGAACAGCCACCACCCGACAACAACGGACAGGAAAACAAAGACACGTTCTCCTTAAAGTTTACACACTGATACCGAAACCAGTCGTCTTTACTGTGCTGCCCAGGGACTCTGCTGGGGTGTGCGGGGCTGGGGGGGGGGCGCAGGCCAGGAAGCCAGAAGGGGGTGTGGGGTCTGGGGCTCTGGGACTAGGCGGAGGAGTCTGGGGGCAGAGAGAGGGTCCTCCCCACCCCCTACTCTGGGGACAGGTCACTTGGAGATTTAGCACCAGGCAGATATTGGGCCTCATTTCCTTTCTTTTATGGCTGGGGAAACTGAGGCCCAGAGAAAGGAGGTGATCACCCCAGGGCCACGTGGCAGGTTAGGCAGTTTCCCAACTTCCCAGCCCAGTGCTATCCCCCACCCTTCGCCCGCCACCCCCTTCCAGAGCTGTGGTCTCCTGGGGCTGAGGGACTTGAGAAATCAGGCAGGTGCTTTTCCTTTCTAGAAAGCCCCACGGCCACGGCCCCGAGCGTGGAGCTGTGATTCATCACGCTGGGGGTCCTTCGCCCCCCCGGCCCCCCCCAACGCCAGCACCCAGGAGAGACGGGAGGTCTTGCTTGCAAGAAAGGAGCAGAGGCACGGGGCCATTCCACCAGCCCCCTTCAAGTGTCTTCCAAGTAGCCTGGGAGCTGCTTCTGGGGTCTGAGGAGAGAGCAGGTGGGCCTGCTCCCACCGCCTCTCAGGTGCAGGCCCCCTTGCCCCAGCCCCCTAGCCTCTCTGGGCCTCTAGGACCCCTCCTCATCCCAGAGGGCAGCAGTGAACTGTGATGCCTGGGAGCAGTGGGGAGGCAGGGTATAAGGGGGGGTCTTCCTGCCTGGGCCCCCCACATCCTGGTCTCCCACCTTCCTGACCCCCATCGTGGGATCTCGGGGCAGGGGGAGGAGGGCTTTCCCAGGCGTACTCACCCACCACCTCTTGGCTGCCCCTCCTTGCCCCACCCCCTGGCCAGAGGGGCTCCCATGTTTCCATGGAGATGGCCGCTTCCCCCCTTGCTGACCCCCACCCAACATCGAACAAAGCACAAATAGTGAGCACCACCCCCCTGCTGGGGTGGGGGGGAAGCAGGCAGGTTCGTAGGGCCCCTCCCTCTCCCTGGCCAGCTTCTGTCGCCATGGCAACCCAGGGCCTGGCAGTTGGGACTGTTGGGCTCCTGGGGTTTCTCTCTCAGTGTGGGCGGCAGAGGGTGGTAAGGGAGGGCAGGCCCAGGCGGCCGCAGCCTTTTTCAACAGCTAGGGGTTTTCAGGGTCGAGTCTGTGGGGAGGGGGGCGGGGCACGCAAATCCGGGGTCCTGAGACTGTGGGGGCTTGAACACACTGTCAGGGTGCTGGGGGGCCCTTCACCTTTGATTAGGACGTGGGCCAGTGGGGGATGGGGACGCCTATAGCCTTGCCCATCTGCCAACGTGCTCCTTGGCTCCCCACCCACCTCAGGATGGGGAGGAGCCCGCTCAGCTCCCCCCACACCCCTGCCGGAGACCCCCAGCCTCTGGCCTGTCACCCCGTTGGGTTTCTTGAGATCTGGGGAGTGTGGCTGGGGGGTGAGGGTGGGCACTGGGGTGGGACTAAGACCTGTACTGTGTGGGGGGGCTGCTGACCAGGAAAGCTAGTGCCATCTCCTGGGTTGGTGGGTGGTCTAGCGACCTTCCTTCCCGGGGTACAGACTGGGAGAGGACTGCTGGGGGGTGCTAGGGCTCAACTGAGCACCTCTCTTACACCCACTTGGGGGACAGACCAAACCCAGGGCTCATTTTGGGGGTGACATTTGCAAAGAAAGGACTGTTCTTCTGGGGAGTAGAGAGGAGGGGGCCAGCATGGATATGCAGAGCAGACCTCCCTCAACTCCCGCAACCTGCCCCCCCCACCCCTCCTCACACCAGATTGGCAAAACTGAGAACAGCAAGCAGGCAAAGCCAGTGGTGTGAGAAAGCAGATTCCTGTTATATTTGCATGACGATTTTACTGTATTTTTCTGAGCAAACATCTGTCGTGTATGTGCCAGTTTGTCCAGACTCCCAGGCCCCCCTCCCCGCCGCCCCCTCTTGCCCACATTCCCTCTGTTGTGATCTGACAAGCAGCTCTTGAAACCTGGGGAGGGGCCAGCTCTGCAAAAGACCCCAAACAAGTGCCACTGAGACGCAGCCCCTGCCCCACACCTGTCTCCTGTCTCTCTGAACGTTGGACCCACAAATGCCGCCTCGCCCCGTGGGCCCCCGGTTTCGTGCCCTCGCCCTTTCCCCTCCTCCCTGCCAGGGAATGGTAGTGCCAGGGAAGGGAGCGTGGGGGGACCTCTTTGTCCCACTTGCTGTCATTTTTCAGGTGAAGACGTTGGGGACACCCGAAGAAGGAAGGGGGCTGGGTGACTTGGCTACCAGGTTGGGGGGGCAGTCACACTGCTGAATCCGGGGGGCTAAGGGCTCGGGGCTTCGTGGGTGGCTTTATGGGGAGACTTGGGGTCCTGAGGGAGGAACCCATGGAAGGAGCCGGGGCCGGGGTTGGCCTGGTCTTACGGGAGATGACACTTCCCACAGGGAGGGTTCTCGGCAGCGGGAGCCCCCCACCCTTGCCATTCCCCCATCATTCCTGGTTGAAGATGACCTATAAAAGCCTCAGACCATCTTACTTTGGGGGCTTTAAGGATAGGTCTCCGTCTTAACAGCGAGGGTCTTGCCACTCCAGGAGGGAAACGACCTTCCCAACCTAGATCACACCAATCTTTGAGGCAGAATAGGATCTAGCTCGGGCCTCTGGCCTCCTGGCCAGGCTGGGTCTTCAGCTGCCCGGCCAGGCCGCTTGATCTGGGAGAGGGGCCAGTGCGCTGCAGGCCACCTTGGAGGTTTTCCTGCATCTGTGTCCTGTGTCTATTCAGGACCATTCTTCCCCGGCAGGGAGCAAAATACTCACGAAAGACGAATGAACATTTATGTCATGGAGTCCGGCCGGCTGAGGGCCCCGTGGTTGTAATGGCCTTGAGCACGGTGGGCCTGGGCTACGGCCTGGGCAGACGGGGAGGGCAGGCAGCCGGGAGAGAAGGGAAGGGGGGTGACGTGGGAAGGGGGGGCAAGCCGGCTGGAGGAGATGTGGGTGCCATACCCTGGAGGCCTCCTTGCCTTGGGTCATGCCTGGGCTTTGCTGTCCCTGTCACAGAATCTCCAGAGGAAATTCCTGGGTGCCTGTCACTGGAGAGTGGCACCAGGAGGGGCTACTCTCCTCACCTGGAGGGCTAGCCCTGCTAACCCCCTGTTGGAGCTAATGGCCTTCCGGAAGTGAAACGTGGAGGTCTGGGGGGAAAAAAAAACCAAACCCAAGACAAAACCTTAGTCTGGTGTGGATACCTCCTCAGGGGTCCCGGGGCCTGCCCCTGCCTGCTGGAGGCCCCTTGCCTCCACACCCTTCTTAGGCTGCCTGGGTCCAGGCTGGGCAGGGGAGTAGCGGGTAGGGCTGTCTGCGGGGCGGTGGGAGTGGAGAGACCCACTTGGGAAGAAGAGTAGGCCTGCGTAGCCCCAGAGACCAGGGAGGCAGGGGAGAGTCTGGGCTTGGCCGAGGGTCTGTTTAAGGTTTTCCACTGGAATGTCGCTCACTGTCCCCACTCTCGGAAGGTTAACAGAGGGGAAACAGAAGTTCAGGAAAGGGAAGGAAAGAGATCTTCTAGGGTCTTGAAACCAGTTAGGGACAGACTGAGTCCAAGAAGGGGGCCAGGCATGGGGGACAAGAGTAACATGCCCCAGCTTGTAAGGGGCCTACATGCAGAGAAGGGGCAGCCATAAAGGGACAGAAGGACGCTGTGCAGAGAATTAAAACAGGGTGATGGAGGGGGGAGGGACAAGCTCGGAGGACTAACCACGAGGGCCAGACTAGAGGGAGAGGGTGACGGGTGGGTGGCTGGATGTCCCCAGGAACCTCCTCAGGTGGCCCCACTCTGCGGCCCCCACCCCGTCTGAGGCAGCCTCCCCTTCAGCAGCATCCCACCCCATTCCTGGCTGAGCGGGGCTCTTTCTGGGTGGAAGCACTGGCAGGGAGGGCGACCCCCAGGGGCTTAGAGGGGCAGGGCTGACAAGGGGCTTGCCTGATCCCAGTGCTTTCTCCTCCCCACCAAGACTTCGGCTCCGCAGCGCCCTCTGCCCTCCGGCCCAGGAGCTGCCATGCTCCCTGTCCATCCTGACCCTGTGTCCTCGCACCTTTAAGACAGAACCAGTATTTACACTTTTTGCCTCTCCTGCCTGCCTCAAACGCCTCATTAAAGGTCCCTCAGTGCTGCTGAGCAGAGGGAAGGGAAGGGGGTGTCGAATGGGGTGGGTGGGAGGCTCTGGGCGTCCTCTTGCTTCCCTTGCCCCTCACCAAACAAGCACAGGGCTGGACAGGGGCAGGGGTCCATCCTCGCTGCCTCCTTCCCCCCCCTCCCTTCCGCCCTTCCTTCCCCCCCTCCCTCCACAAGAGCCGCCAGCCCCATGGGCCCTGCGGCTTGGCACCTGGTTTGGGTACTGCAGAGCTGGTCGCCCGGCCCTGGGCTGTGAACCTGTGAACCCTAGCTGTGTGTGGACCTTTTCCTTCCTTGGGGGGCCCAAAACCTCTCCTTTTCTTCTTTTAGGGGGGTAACTTCATTTATTTTTCTCTTCCCTATATCTGCCTCTCCCTCCTCCCGATTTCCTGTTTTAAACTGAATGGCACGAAATTGTTTTCCTCAACTCGAAGATTCCTGTATGGAGAGAATCAATTTCTATATTTGCAATAAATTTCTTATTTAAAACAATGGGGCCAAGGTCTGTGTTGAATGTCGTCCCCTCCCCCTCCCCCCCGCCAAGTGGGAGTCCGGGCACCTCCAGTTTCCCTTTCTCACCAGAGCCCCACACGCAGGGTTGAGGAATGGGGCTCCCTGGATGGGCAGTCACCACCCACGGTGTCTGCCGGAGGGCAGGGGCCGGCAGGAGACGAGAGGGTCACGGTCCCCCCACACCCCACAAGCTGGCAGGCTGGGGGCCTGATGGCGTCTCTTCCTGAAAACCCGGGAGGCCCTCCACCAGCTGCCCGTGTTCCCCTCCGGGTACCCTGGCCTCCATCGTCCCTGCACTCGGTCAGACCTGAGGAGACGGACAGGGTGTGGGCATTATAAGTCTCGGCTGATGCCCAGGGATTATGTCCCCTAGCCAGTGGCCAAGGACCCCGATTTCCCATAGGCCGCTTCTAATTGCTCTGTGCCCTTGGAGAGGGGTGAAGTGGGGCCCAGCGGGTCTCCTCTGGGCTACTGTCAGGCCAACTTCCTGGCAGCCTGCCGAGTCCCACTGGGTCTCCAGACAGGTCTGCTGCCTTTTTCTCCACAGTTACGAACCACCCCAGCTCCTTCTCCGGGATCAAGAGATGCGGCTTGTCTCTCTGGTCAGGCACGGGGGTCGGGTCTTCATCCAGGGAAACCCTTGCTCAGGTGGGGCCTGGGGGCCACCTACAAGCCCCAGCCTCCTTGTCTCCCAGGCCGCCCTTTGCTCGGACCGCTGCCCTTCAACTGCGGCAAACCCCTCCTCAGGGCGGCCCCTGGATTCAGCCTGGATGGCTGTGGGGTCCTTCGAGTGGCCTCCCTGGCACCGAGCTGCTCTCCCGAAGAGTGATGTCACACTGCCATTTGGCAGCCCTGGCCCTTGGGTCTGTTGTGATCCCTTTCACCTCCCTGAGAGCTGGTGTGGACTGGGGCGGGGGGGGGGGGGGGTCCTTCTGCGAAAGCCCCTGTCTGAGCCCCAACTGGCGTCCCGTCTCCTCTCAGCTGGCCTCAGGCCCCCTCCATGCTGCCGTGTCAAGATGGCTACAGCCCGGCCCTGGGTCTCCCGAGACCTCTGCTTACTGGCTCTTGCCAGGCAGCCCATAGCTCACGTCCTGTTTTCTGAGGGAAGGTTCAGGATGAACTTGCACCGTGGGATGGGAAGAGAGAGGGGCATGTCTGTGGGAGGGGTCGGGGGGCAGGGCCTGGGGTCTCACAAGCTCTGCCATCTCGGGCCTGCAGCTGGGGCTGCCCCGGGGTCCCCCAGCCTGGCCGAGGCTCAGGGCCACCCTGCCCAGCTGCCTGCCTGTGACACTTTGCTTTAGTGTCTCCATCAGCATGGGTCTGTCCTCTTGGAGGCTTCCCGTTATTCCCGAGGATATGAAGCCATGACCAAAGGCTTGAGCCTGTGGGGCGGGGGGTGGGGGTGTGTCCAGGCCGGTCCAGGTCCTTCCATTCCTGCTGCCCTGAGCTCCCCAGACCCCCAAGTTCCTTCCCACAGGGATTAGAGGGTCATCTGCAGTTACTGGGAA